TATTTCTTTTGAAATTTTTCAAATGTCCAGTAAGATGGTAGCAAACAGATTCAATATATTTTGCGTAACTTTGGTAATACATCTAAGCATCTCTTAGAGACTTAGATCAAAATGAAATCTATTATTTACCTTTATTTCTGCTACTTTTGATTTCTTCTGCCAGTCCCAAACAGTCAGCATGTGTTCGTTAGAATCATCAACCACACACAAATGTGTACCTGAATCCTTGCAAAGATTTAATAATAAAACTCATGTCATCATATTAATGTCCTCTTATGTTTAAGAATGTTACAGAGCAATAGTTTTCAACCTCACTTTTATGTGTACAGGTAAAATATATGAGCCAGATTAAGTCATTCTTTAGAATCAGCTTTATTTTTAAATTGGACTCTCATGTGTGTCTATATATACATGGAATACTAGTGTTATTAGTATAGGTAAGAAAATAAAGTTATGCTCCAGGCATATGGAAATACCTAAATCAAGTGGTTTTGCATTAAGATTGGGTTTACATAGTCTTTAATATGAATTACATCTGTGTATTTCAGAATCTCACAAAAGTAATTTCAGGCATAGAAGAATAGCCTTCATATGTTTCAGTTCTAATTTACAAATTTCTTTTGCAAAGTGAAAATGTATCAAGAAGAATGGTTTCATGATGGGTTAAATCAAACTTTCCCTGCTAGGCAATGATTTATAAAATTCTTCAACTAGAAGTAGAAACAATATAGCATAAGAAAAGTTATTCTTTTTTTTATATTACTCTAATGCCTAATATTTCCTCTGTTCTTTATAAAATGCAGTTGGTCACTTACATTTGAAATGCAGATTTAACAACTGAATGGAATAAAGAATTAGAGTGAACCATTAAGAACTATTAAATGACTTAGGTAATTGAGACAGTTTGTACATTCAGTGATAAACAAATGATAAATCAATGATAAAGTATCAGTACCAAAAACCTCCATAGATTTTATCAATTCAATAAAACATAATGTGCAATTATTGGCAATGTAGATTAGCAATGGATAATATAAAATGCTTCTATAAAACTGCCCTGTTCTATATGAACGATCTTTTCTCCTTCCTTCCCTCCTTCTCTCTCTCTCTCTCTCTCTCTCTCTCTCTCTCTCTCTCTCTCTCTCTCTCCCCATATTCAACTAATAAAAGTGAAAAATAGCAAACGAAATAATGCATTTGTGTCAATAAATTCCAGCACATTTGAAAATATATAATAGAAAATCATCACTTAAATGCTCTTTTTCACTTTTCTCTTTTCCTTTTATAAAAAGATTTATATTATATGAAGGGAATAAAAAAGACAAAATTAGTAAGTGGAAACTGAATTAAGTGACTTTCTTTCCTTAAAACTAATTCTCAACTTTTAAACACTATGATGATGGTGTATCATTAATAGAAAAGAGGAAAAATTAAATTTGGCATATGAAAAAATTTAGCTCAAATGCCTGCACATGGATCTTTCAGCCTTTTGATTGCTTTTATTGCCATCCACAGTACATTTTTTTCAATCCTGACTTTTAGTAAATAACATGTCTCTTAGTCAGAAACCTTGTAAATATCATGTTATACCCTCAAAACATTAATTTGCAAGGCTTCACCAATTTACTTTAAAAACAGTAGCTAGTTTTTGTTTCTGCTTCTCCTTAGAGAATACTGTCCACTGCGGCAAATTCCTGGGGCCAAATTGTAAGCACTACAAGTAACATTCTATTAAAATGGCACTAAAATAAACCAAGATAATTACTCATGGCAGATACATTAAGATAAATTTCAGAAAATTATATTATATGAAATGCTAATTGTATGTAATTCTAATTAATGAGACTTGTAACAAATTCGTCTATTACAGCCAATTATTTATTATTACAATTTTATACTGCAAGCACTACTATAATAGAAGGATATTATTTCAAGGAAGAACATACTTTAACCGTATCTGTAAAAGGGCAGAAATGCAAAACAAGGTTGTTTCTATCTGTCAACATTTAAATCAGCTTCAGAATGAAAATTAAATTTTTGTATCAGGGCTTGCTAAGAATAGATTTCTTCAACGCCCTTATAGGACAGAAAGTTTTCTATAGATGGTAAAATATATCACATTAAACTTTATTGCCAGGTATTACTTTCAGTTATATTCCCTTCTCTGAGCAGTAAATAATTTTCTATTCACTAGAGAGGAGTAACCTGTGGTATTCTAGAAACTGTTGAATTTCAACAGTTTTATCATTTTTGATCGTAAATCAAACAGACTGAAATTGAGACCAATCATAGTTCAGTCTGTTCTAGGCAGTCAGACTATATAGTATCATTTATTTATCTACCCATTTATATGCCTTCTATTCCTGCAACTCTAAATAGCTATTTATTCCTATATCTATAGTTACACTAGTTTATTATTGGATAAATTATATAAAAGATCTAGCTAAGTGTGTAAGTCAGAATGCCTTAATATAGTTTATTTGCCTGATCCATGTCATCCATGTCTGTTATAATCTGTTATCCATGTCTGTTATAATCTGTGGGGCATCCAAAAAGATGCCCCACAGTATGTGAGATGAAATCAAACACTTGTCTGCAACTCTCTAAGGCAGCTCTAATTGCAATACCACCAGTAACTACTAGAGGCAGCTTTGTTCCAAAAACTACAATTTCTTGGAACAACCATTGCTAATGAGTAAATAAGAAAAATAATTTTATACAAACCAGGTATAAAAAAGAATGAGATACACTGGCATTGGAAATAATGTGTCAATGCTGCTAACATCGGATGCTTGCTTGACAATATATGAAGATGCAGACGTTTTCTATTTAACCTGTGTATTACTTTTAGAGTTAGAATTAGATGGTGCTGGAGGGGAGGGAGAAGAATGTGCATGGGGACAAGTTAGCCACAACAATATCTCAGTAGAGTATTCTTCAAGGTTGGTTGTAATAAGAGGAGATAAGAAATGGCAGGTTATGAACGGGAGGGAAAGTTCACACTTCAAACTAATTGAAGAATGTGATTAATGACTGTTAAATGAAGGAGTGAATTATGCTTAGATACTGTGTGTTTGGGGGAAGAGAATTCAGATTTTGGCTTCTCTTATGTACCAGGAAGCTATGTTGCAGTTAAAGATTCTTTAAGGTAAACAATGCCTCAAAGTTCTTTAAAGAGCTTCTTCTTTCGGAACCATGACATAATGCAGTTAATGATCAGAAAACCTTGTTTAAAAAATTTCAAAGCTTCATTAATGTGTCTACACAGGAAGATATCAGGCTGGCAATAGCTGTGCTAGATGCAATGTTAAAATAGGTGAGCAAAGTATTCACAGCTATTTATACAGACACACTCAGCTGCACACCTAATATATTGTTTGCGAAACAAAGACATAAAGTTTTCCTTACTGCTTTTGAAAAGTCCAGACATCCCACTCCACGTTCAAAAGTCCCAAGGCCAATAACCTGTAGAGTCATTAGGCTCACTGAATCCCATACTCTAACATGGGGCTGCAAAGGCTGTAAGTAAAAATAATTTGAAACAGGTGATTATTGAAAAGATAAAAAGAGGCCCTTCCATTAAGCAGATATTGATTTGTATGAAGACAGTCATTGATCTACCGAATAAACATTGACTTGAGTGAAGTCCTTGCAATAAATAAAGACATTTCAGTTCAATATTCAGAACAAGTTTTAGATATAATCTTATTCATATCTACTCTAAAATGTATCAGATAAATGAATATAAGGCTGCAGCTTCCAACCATCACTGAGTCATAAACCACATCAACAGTTACTGAAATGTTTTAAATAATACAAGTAAGGAAAGATATAGTTGCGCAGCAATATCTCAGCATTTAGATTAAGGACATTTATTGGAAAAAAATAGACAGTAATTCAGATCTATGCAATGTGAAGTTCATTCATGTCCTAGGGCTCATATTTTCCTTCCTGCTGTGCATCTTCCTTTAAAAAAGGCATAAGAGAAGCAGGTACAGAAGAAGTCTGGTTAAAATAAACTTTTCAAGATTAATGTGGTCAACTGAAGACTTCTTTGGGAAATACACATTGCACAATGCAATTCAAGATAACATGCACAAATTCAGACCTTTTGAATTATTCATCAGACAAAAGCAATAGTAAAAATGAGAAATTCCTAAGACTCTTTCCAGAATCAGAAATCAATTATTGAGATAAAACTTACTCTTCCATCTTTATCCACTCCAGCTAGCTGTCCAGTTGCTATCCTGATTTTGTCTGGATGAACTGCAAGGCTGGAAGAAATAATCTTGTTAGAAATACTGCATGCTTTCATGCTAACTGCCTAT